GGGGAGCCACTTCCCTGTGCTGTCTGTTTCCCCATGTCCTTTCCTATCTCTTTAGATTGTAGGCTCTTCGGGGCAGGGACCCCCTCTGTCGCTGTGTGTTTGGAACAGCCCCTCCTGCAATGGGGCCCCTGCCCTCAACCTCTGAGTACTCCGGGAACGCAAATCATTCTTCCCGGGATCACTTTGGGCGTTAGCTGCCCAGGCGCGACTCTCACAAGGTGGCACGGCTCCCTCCGGGCCAGCCCCTAGTGACGGGCTCGGGTTCAGTCTGTGCACAGCGGCTGAGTTGCCTTCTTCGTCCTGGCAGAGGGGCCGGTGTTCAGGGAGGTGCCGGGCTGGGCCGCAGCAGAGAGACATGCCGGTGAGGCCCTGGGGAGAGGTGCAGCCCAGACAGCTCAGCTCCATCAGCCTCCAGAGAAAGCTAGGAGCTGAAATACCTTTTACGGGGAGCCTCAGAGCTTTGCTTCCGCAGGCCCGGACTCCCGGCTCCTCTTGGTGAGCACGATAAAATATGGGCCTCCGCGGATCAACAGCCACCTTGAAAATGCTCCCACATTCTCCGCGACGTGTAGGCCTTCCTGGGCCTGCCGCGGTGACCACGGGTGACGGAGAATCAGAGTTCTGGAGCCCTGGGGTGTCACACAACTCACCTGCCCTTACTGTAATGACAAATGGGGACGGAGGGCCCCAGTAGGGAAAAAGCGAGATTCTCGCTGCCAGTCCAACTCTCTGCCAGAGAGAGACTCTCCCCAGAAAGTCGAAGCCGGGTTCAGAATCTGGAGCAGTCGTCAGGTCTGGATCGGACGGGTTATTTCGTCCCCTCCAGCTGTAAATAAAGCTCTTGGAGCACTGAGTTGCGTCAGGACCCTGAGGACATGTCTTCGCACCAGTCCGGAAGCTGTCTCCCTCACAGTCGGGCCTGTGTCTCTGCGGCACACGTTCCTCAAGGCCCCGTCATTCCTCATGGGAGCATCGCGGGAGACCTAGAAGGAAGTAGGAAGGCAAACAGGGAGAGGGGCTGTTTCCGATTCCCTTTTCCGTGGCGAATGTGGTTGGAGACGAAAGGGTTTGTCTACACAGGGATACTCGGGAAAGTTACTCCGAAGGAACAAAAGGTGGGAATTCAAAGTGGATTCGTTAAACGGCCATCAACCCCCATCTGGACTGTCAGCCAAAATGAAAGTGGCCTTCCTCGGGTTTCGCTCCCTAAAGCTGGAGCCCTAGGAGGTGCCTACGGTTGCCAGATACCTTCACAAAAAATC